ACGCAGAGAAAATGTAGTAAAAATTACAACAAAATTTGTGTGGTATAATCTTGGATCATACACAGATTTTATGATTGAAATTACTGTATATTCAAAAATATAACGTATATTTGACTTTTTGTTATAAAATTATTGTAATCGAATGTTTTTTATATAATATATTCGGGAGATCGTTAAATTTTCTATTTTTATAGTAATTTATACTGCAATATCAATATATTATAACGTCAGTCTAATTTTATATGAAAAAAAATCGCAAATTAAAATATAATTGTAACGTAATTTTTATTCTTTTTCTTTTTTTTTATACAGGATGTCTCAGAATAATCTCTGAAACTCTTATAAAGGCGTAGTATGGATTATAGTAGACGTAGTATGGAACATAAAAGTCCTATACTGTTTTGCGATATTTGCAATAATTATATTATTGCAAATTAATTATTATTATTAATTATTATTAATTAATTATTATTATTAGTAATTAAATATAATTAAAATAGATTTATAATCACGCGAGATATATATGGAGATAAGCTGTAGTGGCGACATCTGTCGTCGTGTGCTTGTACATTAGTTATACATTTAGATTAAACTGAACAAAAATATCCTCAACTTTTTTCTTAATAACTTTGTAGATTTTTAATTATTAATTAGAAAACATTAATGAATTATCACAAGCAACCATTTACAAATCTTTTTTAATTAATCCTCTCTAAAAAAAGAGATGAGAGATGTAAGAGATTTAATTGTTGCCGCTTTTCCGCGATGCTGATTGGTTTTCTCGCTTAGCTCATTTCATGTGGGCTGCAGCTTGCTTCGTGTCGTTTGCGCTTGTCAAATTACCAAGCAAATAGCTGTCATCGCGTTGGTTAGGTCACAAAAAAATATAGAAGAGATATGTCTCTCCCTGTCTCTCCCTACTTTTCCTATCTCTTCCTGTCTCTCCCTGTCTCTCCCCGTCTCTCCTTGTCTCTCCCTGTCTCTCCCTGTCTCTCCCTGTTTCTCCCTGTTTCTCCTTGTCTCTTCCCGTCTCTCCCTGTCTCTTCCTGTTTCTCCCTGTCTCTCCCCGTCTCTCCCCGCCTCTCCCTGTCTTTCCCTGCCTCTCCTTGTCTCTTCCTCTAATTATTAGTTAATTAAAGTATATTTTAATTTAATTTAATTTTTATTTAATTTTTATTTTACATTTTTTATTGTTTTTTATTAGTTATATGGCGCGCGTGGTAGCGCGCGCATGTACTGTTTTAGTAATTAAAAATCTACAGAGTTATTAGAAAAGAGGGAAAGAACTTTGTCACTTTCAATTTCATCTAATGTATAAGCACACGATAGCAGATGTCGCCACTATAGTTCATCTACCATATCTCTCATAATCATTCACGAATCTTCTATAATTTATATCTCGATAATTATTGCAAATATCACAAAACAGTATGGAACTTTTATATTCATTTGAATCCGTGCTATGCCTCCACGAGAGCTTTGGGGATTGTTTTGAGACATTCTTTATATATCTTTATTTTCTTTATGTATAATAAATGTTTTCGGTGTGAAAAAATATATATACATTTTAAATAGGATAAATTAATATGTTATTATTATCCACCAAGAAAATATCTTTTTATTTTTTAAGTACTTTTTCTATCACATTGTAAATATCTTATGGTATTTAAAAATGTTTTTCTGATAGCGCATATTTAATGCACTTATATATAAGCTCAAACAATAATAAACTATAATAAATTGAGCTTTGGTGACGATAGATTAGCAGTCTTTATTCATAAAAACGTCTTAGATACGTTTTGTTAGATAATTCTTCTTGTTAATCTTTTTTCTACTTGCGGAGTCTATACAGGATTACAATTGGAAAATTTCATATCACTCTTCACCTTCGGATTCTTCTTCATCTTTGCACTTCAAATTATTTACATTACGATCTTCATCTGCAATTTAAATTACTTGTTATTCTGTGCGATTGCTCAAGAATTATATCTTGTATACTCGGTTTCTGTTGTTTCTCTTCTTCTTCCTAATTTCTTCATTTTACTTTAGAAATAAATTCAAAGTATATTTAAAATAATATATCAATGTATCAATAATATATTCATTGGAAACTTTATTTCTTTTTCACAGATGCATATTTCTTCTTCTCACATATTTTCGATCTCACGACGCTGAGACTTTCAATTGTCCCAACGGGTAAACGAGTTTTGAAATTCATCTTTGTCCGAGTTTTTGTCATCTCGATCTTTCGCTCTATCACCTTTGTTTCTCGTACACTAAGCATTCTCTACGTTATTGTCTTGTAAATTGCAAGTTTTTTATTAATAAATCCATATCACGTGTCTGCGATGGTCTTCGAGAAGACCAGCTTGAGCTATTCCTGTCTTTGTGATCAGTGATTGATACTCGATTGTTTCTCATGTGAAGCATCCTTAGCGATTCCATGACAATCCGTCTGCGATTCCTACGTACATAATACATATAGAGAGTTCGTCGTAATAACCTTATGCAATATGTGTACCGTTATTAATAATCAATGATTGTTTGTGATTTTGCACGTGCGATTACGTTATGCATTACACGCACTATTACTTATAATTCGCATGTTACTTGTTGCTGCGTGAAATTACAAATCCATCTGTCATGGAACTATAATCCACCATCGATACAGAAATATCTGAACCGAACATGCTTTGTTAATTTAGGCATTGTTAATAAAAGGGAAGAGTATATCAAGTTGCGGTAAGGGGAAAGTTATATGGTACTTTGGATTATTCAGCTCGACCCGCCATCATTCCATTAAATTTTTCATGCGACCAGCATTGCAGCTCTTTGTCTGCACCCTATGATTGTGAGGAAGATTTCCACAACTAAAATTGCAAGAATAGATGCCGCTAGTCGCAAGAAAAACCAGGTTTCCCAGGAGTGTCAATGACCAAGACGGATGTTAATAATTGTGTGACTTACTCAAAAGAAATTGCGACAGAAATACCTGAAATGTCGTAACTTTCCTTAACGCTATTTAGGGCCGTTATCTTGTACATTCTTGCCGATAATTGTCGTTTTGGCACACTAACAACCATCATATATAATTATGAATAATTTTAGATAATGAAAATGGCAATTTTTCGACAAATTTGAATTAAAATAAAAGAGAAGTTAAAAAAAATTAAAGACACATTAAATTACATTCAATAATTAAACAAATATTTAGTATAAACTAATTTTTTGCAACTTCTTGTCGTTACCAATGGTAACGATAAACGATTAACGATATTTATAAACAACGACGTCGCTATTTTCAACGAGACGTCTTTTGCGTGACGATAACATACTGGTAAAATTTTTGAAAGAAAATCCTATAAGATTATATAAATGAGTTAAGTAAGAAAGATTAATTTGTATCAAATATTCGTGTAATTTTTGGATATAATTTAATATCTTTAGTTTTTAGTTTTTTTTATTTTAATTAAATTTTTAGTAAAACAATTGCTATTTCTCATAGTTTGTTACCTAAATTATTCATAATTATGACAGACGCTAAAAACAGACGTCGTTAGTACATCGTACCGACAATTGTCGAAAGGTATATGCAGAATAGCGGCCCACATTCTTATGCCGACAAAATTCACACCGCAATCATAATCTATGTGGCTAATCTGAAAATAAAAATCGTTACGGATACAGATATTAATCATTATTTCCATTATTATATGACACGTAAAAAATCTCGATCGAAGGTGAGCGAAGCTTTTTGCCTGCGATGGAATTCACGCTTGTGCGCGCACGCATGTGCGATGCCATGAATAATTTACGCAATGATTTGCCGCGTCTTACTTCGATGCACGCATAAAGCGCGCGGAGTTCGAAGATACACGGACGACCTGATTATTATTTGCACCTCGTGCAATCGAGATTTTTTACTCGTCATCGTTTGGCGCAAGATGTCGAAGAAATAGAGATCGACGATGCTACACGGAAAAAAATGATTCAATTGATATTCCAATTGATTGCAATTCTATAGTTTGTTGAAAAAAATTACACATTATGACGAATATTTGTTACTGCAGCGAAGATAAGAAGCAACTGTCAACTCGCTCATAGAGTAAATACACTTTTGTTGATATTATCTTAGTTATTGCAATAAATCATTTTGTATTTTGAGCTAATTAGAGTTTGCGAAATAAATTCATTAATTTTACTAAACAAATTATGCAATTATTCCAATAAATAATAAAGAAATATTTTTATTCGTTTTACAAAGTGCACTTCCATTAAATTTGACTGCAAATGACAGTAATGAGAAGTATGTTATTATGCGTAATAACTGTATGTATTTATGATATAATATATTGATATAAATTATATGTATCTTTATGTGAGCATGTATGTTTACGTTTATATTTTACTATACTATTTGAATGGTTGTAAGAAATAAATATTCGAGACATTTCAAAAAGCATATTTACTGTAGCTAACTTCTATTGCTGGAACAACTGATGAGTTGACTATATTAAAATTCGTTAAGACACCAGATTTCTTTTGATAAAACAGGAAAATAATTTATTGCATATACCAAATTATATTTTCCATTAGTTCTATTAGTATACAAAGTTTCTCAGCTCAATTTTACAATCTCTTGTGAAAGGCGAATTCAGATAAACTCAAAAGTCTAGTTAATTTAGTTAGTGGTATTTACCTAATAAATATTTGTTAATTTCTAGATATTTTTTTCTCAGTGTAAGTTTTCAATTGTGTAGGTTTTCAATTGACAGCATCTTTTTTTTCCGTATGCAATCGATCGATAACGAATCATTAATGATCGACTTCCACATCATAAATAATTTGCGATCTGATTCAATTGATGAATAAGTATGAGAAAAGAAAATGACAAGACAAAACAAACTATCACGCGATCAAAGTCGGAACCTCGCGACCTCGAATTGTTTTCGTCTCGTCGGCCGATCCCTGATTATACAGAGTCATGCGTCTTCTTGCAGGACGTGAACCCAGAGTCGGAGAATCGAGTGAACGAGATCGGAGCGGAGTCGCAGAATAGCGAGGTGCGTGTACAATTCGCGGACGAGGTGTCGAGCGACAGTTCGCCACAGGAGCTGGCACCATTGGACGAGGTCGAGACGAACGAGGACGAGAACAGGAACAAGAGATTCCTCTTCGGTTTCGGCGGCGGTGCCGGCGGCGCCGGGTCAGGCAACTTCCTCTTCGACATTATCAGGGTGAGTCGCGTATCGATTCCGTAGAAGCCGTTTGTCTCGCTACGGTGAAAGAGAATGAGAAGGTCATTCTCTCCCTCTTTCTCTTTCGCCTTTTATAGCAGTGTTACGTCATTAATGTTGTTTGCGATCGGGATAGATAAATGAATGAGTATTCACAAGGGATAAATAGAACGAACGAAAATTAATTAATGTAATATTTCGGCAAACAAGACCCAGTCGCGGGATAAATTTTTCATTTCGGAGGATAATAATGTTCTTTAAAGGTTTGTTATGAAAATAAAAAATATAAGAGAACTGTGAAAAGACTCATTCTCGTGCCAACGCATAGAAAAAAAACGCTCTATTCGTGTAATTGGATTTTCTGTTGCAATGAAGATCAGGAGAAAACTCGATTATAGGAATAGAATGATTCCTATAGGAGACTTCCACCTATTGAATTAATTGTTCGCAGTTATCATTATCTCCATTATTATACAACACGTAAAAAACCTCGATCGAAGGTGAGCGAAGCTTTTTGCCTGCGATGGAATTCACGCTTGTGCGCGCACGCATGTGCGATGCCATAAATAATTTACGAAATGATTTGCCGCGTCTTACGTCGATGTTCAAAGATATACGGACGACCTGATTTTTATCTGCATCTCGTGCAATCGAGATTTTTTACTCGTCATCGTTTGGCACAAGATGTCGAAGAAATAGAGATCGACGATGCTACACGGAAAAAATGATTCAATTGATATTCCAATTGATTGCAATTCTATAGTTTGCTGAAAAAAATCACACATTATGACGAATATGTTAATCGAGTCTTAAGGTAATTGTGCCGCTAAATATTATATTTTCACAATGACGCTTTAAGAGGCTCTCTAAAATTTTGCGTTTATCGGATAACTTTGTTATAAATTTATTTCACCATTCAAATTAGAAATATTAATTTGGAGTGATGTTAAGTTGAATATATGTACATAACGCGTACATAAATACATAATCAATATGTGTTACACATATTTTCTGGTGAAATGTGCACGAATCTGAAAATTCTGTTTGAAGTTACCAGAATTCTGTTCAAGTTAACAAGATTTCTGGTTTTGATTCTGAACTTGTTCATATTTCATAAAAAATCTGGTTAATCCAATTTTTTTTCGTGCAAAATACGCGAAAGTATAATCATTTTTTATGTTTCTTAATAGTATTTTATTTATGCGTCTCAGTTCCTAAATGGTCAATCTTGTTCTAATTGCATAAACAGTTAGATAATATTATAGTTTAAGCGTGTTTATAACGTTGATTTCAATGCGTCTCTAAGGAACTCATTTCACAATATAACTACTTCAATTAATTACAGAACAAACAAATTCCGATTTGTTTTTTAATTATATTTCCTTTCATTAAAAATAGCAATGTCATGAGTTCCAATAATGTGTAGCACGAGTCGAAAATTCGACTTGGAAGTGGGATAACTTTTAATTGAAGGTCCGCAACTGTTCGTGTCACTCTCAAAATGCAATATAAAACAATTTGTAAATTTTCAATAATTTTTTCGTTATTTCAGCCAGTGGGCAATACTTTTTGATGCAATCGAGTATTCTCGCGAATTTCGCTTTTAGTCAATTTATTTTCCTTAATTTATTTATTTAATTTAGTTTTATATACGTTTCATATATATTTACTTAATGTATTTATTTAATGTACTTTTTTCGGTTGCGAGGTAACGGAAATATCGTTTCTTATCATTGAGTTTTCGTCTGGTCCCCGTTTAATTCCACGAGTTGAGATTTTCTCCGTGTTGGTCGGCGTCGATGCACGCGCGCGTGCATCGCGATAGATCGCGATAGAACACTTGCTATTCCAGTAACAGGCGAGACGGCAAGGGCGCCAGTGCTGCAGACGGCAGTGAAAGTGAGCAACCGAATTACCTTTAACTGCGCGCTATCCCATCTGGTTACTATTCCAAGGTTCCTGACCTAGGCACGACCCGACCTCGCGACGGTAGAATTACCACAGTCGGGATCTGATCCGGCGTCCTTGATTAAAGTCCGTGCACGAAGATTCGCGATATTTCAGCGAGATACGCGAAATGTCACAACGTTAAGGGGATGTCATACTTGAAAACTTTATTGAAAAACGGTTCATTGACCTTTTTTACGCAGTTTATGTTGTATTGATTATTCAGAATTACAAATGCTCTTACACAATTAAAATAAGGAAGGCTGGGGCTAGCTGTTACAAGTGTAGTCATTTTATATTTTTTATTAGTGCGAAAAATATTATATCATTGGGTTAAAAAAATTTTTTTGTACAGTATAAACATATTGCTCTTGAAAGGTTTGTTTGTAACATGTATTTCATTTATAGGTTACATGTGAAAAATTATTTTTAGGAAAGTGCGCCAGTGAGCCTTAATCACCTTTACGTGAAATAATGAATTAAGGCATATCTCAGTATATAACGAAAACGATAAAAATTTTCAAAGATAATATTTCGAACTATCAATTAGTGTAAATATTTAGCTGATACAAAAGTTTGGCAGTTGGTACATATCAAACGCGTGTTTGCTCCGTTTAGAAAAATTTTAAAGAACATTGCTGTGTCTTTACAATTGAATCTAGAAGGTTCAAATCATAGAAAAAATTTGCAGAAAAATCTTTATATGAATTGAATATTTCAATTAGTGACTGTGTCTCAATTTCTGAGATAACTACATCCTTTTTCTTAATTAATAAATCATTTAATACGAATCCATATTTATTCTAAACATTTATTCTTGCTTTAAATTTTATACATTATAAATTATAACAAGTTGCGAATAAAATTAAAAATAATAAACTCTGAATTTTACAAACGTAAAATCGCTCTGGCGGCGACAGTTCGAAGTTACTCGCCGACATCTTAGAAATTGACAGTCAATCCCATGTCTGTTTGTTAGATCTGTGTAATTATTCTTCAAGCAATTTAAATAGTTCCGTCAAAGTTGAAAAAAAGTTAAAGAATATTTTATAAATAGAGAAAGTGAAAATATGTAATTTTTGTAGTTATATTATACATTTATTTGTCTCTAGTGGCAACCAGAATAAACGTGATAACATATAAATGTTTAAAAAAATAAAAAAAAGACACGAGGTTTGTATCTCTTATTAATTATAGAGTTAGGAAATAGCATCGTAATTTGCTGGAATTTATGATGTACAAATGAGTCATTAGTTTATAAATTGCCATATTTAAGTCAATAGGCAGTAATAAGTCAATAGTCCTAGTCAATAGTAATAGTCAATAGGAATATGTTAATAATACATTCATAATTCTATACGACTTGTGGTTTTCAAATAATGTTTACTATTACTTTGTATTAATATATTTATACATATCTTTATTTTCACGATAATGTTACTTGGTTATTTGGAATTCATATAAAATATTTTAATAATTATTTAAAAATATATATTCTAATAATTCACATAATATTCTACTGATACCAAATTGGGATATTTACTTTATATCATAAATTGTAGTAAAACTAAACTCGTATTATTAAATAATACATTTTAGCCACTTTTGAGAAAATATAAATGAAGTAAAATCTTTCCACAAATTAGAAAAATATGACATAATTACTCCCCAAATATCAGTCAATTTTGTGTGTATTTAGCTTAGCACGTATATTATTAATTCATTTATTTATTTTCACTACGAGATTATTTGGTCACTAATTGAGGCATTTATTTCATACATAATTAAGTTTTCTCCTACATATCGTAAAACAGAGCAACACACATTTTTATATAGAATTTGTATATACAGTGATTTGTGAAAAACAGTTTAAATACAATGAAGTTAGAAATTCACCAAACTGTCAACACTGAGAATCAATACGGACGGACACTTACACAACAATAATATAATTAATAATATAATAAATATAATAATATAATAATAAAGGCAATAAATAATAATATAAATAGAATAATAATCCTCTCTAAAAAAATATATAAGAGATTTAATTGTTGTCGTTTTTCCGCGACAACATGCTGATTGATTCTCTTGCTTAGCTCACTTCATGTGAGCTGCGGCTTGCTTCATGTCGTTTGTGCCTGTCAAATTACCAGTCAAATAGCTGTCATCGCGTTGGTTAGATCACGAAAAAAAATACAGAAGAGATATATCTCGCCCTGTCTTTCCCTGTCTCTCCTGCCTCTCCTGTCTCTCTCTGTCTCTCCTTGTCTTTCCCTGCCTCTCCTGTCTCTCCCTGTCTCTCCCTGTATCTCCTCATCTCTCCCTGTCTCTCCCTGTCTCTCCTTGTCTCTCCCTGTTTCTCCTTGTCTCTCCCTATTTCTCCCTGCCTCTTCTGTCTCTCCCTGTCTCTTCTTATAATTATTAATTAATTAAAATATATTTTAATTTAATTTAATTTTTATTTTATTTTACATTTATTATTGTTTTTATTAACTATATGGCGCGCGTGTAGCGCGCGCATATATTGTTCTAGTTTATATATATAAAATAGTATATCTTTTTACGTGTTCTCTATTAACTCTTAAATCTTTTAACCAAGATCAAATTTTTCGTAGTTATTCTTTAGAATCCTGCGGAAAATATAGATTCCATGAAACCTGAACATTCCATTCTTTCCCTTGATTTTATCCCTTTCGCACGTTGTGATAATTTAAGTTTAGTTGTTCTAGATATAAGAAACCCGAGGAACACCGGGTAATTTAAATTAGTTAAACTAGTTTTAAATTAGTTAGACTAGTTTAAACTAGTTTAAATTAGTTAATAATATAATTACTAGGCAAGAACCCACATCACACAATAATAATAATTTTTAATTTTGACAGTTTGGTGAACTCGTAATTTCATTATGTCTAAATTGTTCTGCAACCCACCGTACAAGAAATAAGGAAAGAATCGCCTAATTGTGTTAGTGTTTATTTGACATGTCATTTTACTGACTGCCTCTACGTTATCAGCATTTTTAGAGTTGGCCATTTACTTTGGCATCCCCTTAATGAACGACTGATCGGTAATAACGGTTTCGTCGCGATTGCGATAGGCAAAATAAATAGTCCAATCAATCTAACGACAAGCGATGAACTGTAAACTGCGAATTGCTCTCATTATGATAGTACCGGTTTCTACGTTGACGTGACTTTGGTTTCTTTAGTCACCCGATATAACCGGGATAGAATCTCGAATAATTGCGCGGATTTCCCGAAATAAAGAGCCAGCTGACGGGAACGCAATTAGTAATAACGGTGTGGCATATTAACGACGACGTTCGACGACTACTTCTTTTTTCTGTCTTTTTTTTCTTCTTTTTTTCTTGTTCGCAACAACGTTCATCATGGCGGAACGAGTTTCGCCGTCGCGCCGTGCGCGACGTGACAGATGCAATTGCTCAGGTCCGCCGTGCGAAAACCGTGTTACCGTTTCTATCGGCTCTACCGTTATTCACTTTCCCGGCAAAAAACGACGCGATTACGAACGGCTCTCGAAGCGATTCCAGACCGGCTGGTCGCGGCAACGCCAGTGCGACCCTTCACCGTCCGCGGATTGAGAAAACGAGAAACTTGCCTACGTGACCAATACTCTATTTGTTTTTGTCGTGGTTGTTCAACCTTCTGCTAGTAAGTAACTCTCGAAATTGTGCGTTACTAAGCAGTCGTTATATAACGAAAAGCCAAACGATACTTTGCATAATATCACGAACTATTGAAAAAATTAACGCATTGGTTGTTATATCAACTTCAATTGAAGTGGCGCGAGAGTCTAATTGATGATTTAAAAAATGACACAGTAAATGCGTAAGTATATAATTCGAGATTTTCATCTTATTTCATTGGCTTTCTATCGGCTGTATAATCGATTTCCTAAACGCAGTTACTTATATTTTATATTAACTTTTAATCTTTTGCAACTTTTGTAACCTTTTGTGACTTTTAACTCTTTGAGTCATATATTTCATTTCTCAACTTGAAGTTTCTTCAAATTTGGTGTATAGGAGATTTCAGAGTTACTAATTGAAGTTAAAATTTGAGATCAAATAAAGTTTGAAATGGCAGGTCTAATGTGACGATCATAAGTATTAAAAATTAATAATCTCGCTTTTAGCATCATTAAGTAAATAACAATAATAATTTTTCGATATGAAAAAGGAATATTTATGGTTTTGATAATAAATTAGTAGCATACATAGTATCAGTAATTTAATAGTTTATTGTAAAATACGGTTTACAGAAAATTTTGAAAAAATTATATAAAATATTGTTCATTGTCCTGAATAAATGGTTAATGTTTCGTTGTGTCAATTCCTAATAGTTAGCCCTAAAATTATTTTTGTCTGAAAAGAATATCTTTTTTACTTCTATGTACTTATAATAATTTAAGGTTCGAATTATTTTTTATCTATTTTTAGTTCCTTATGTTTTTGAGAATGTATAGTAGTAATATAATCGAGTATGTCTGCCCCGATAAGTTAGTTAAAGTCCTTAAAAATGAAGAATCCTTGAAAATAAAAATGATGCTAACATCTCCCTATGGCTCAAAGGGTTAATGCAACACGGTAGTATCGTAGTACTAGTTACCAGTGATGGCATTCAACGTGTTAATGTTCAATAATAAAAAAAATTAATAAAATAATGATGAATAATATTAATAAAATTGATCGAAATGTTAATACGAAATAATATATAAATAGCAGTAGCATTATGTGCTATATTATTTAACTACGAGATAAAAATGCACTTCTTGAGGATACTTGATATTTAAATTCCAAGTGACACCAATGTTGTTGTAAAGCGCATTCAATGTGTTAATGATAATAATGATGATAATGATAAGATGATGACGACTAAAATTATCAAAATTGATTATAACATTAATAAAAAAGTATATATATATATATATATATATATATATATATATATATA